TTTAAAATATGTCCTGTTAATACAGTTAAAATAGTTATTAAATATAGTGTATACAAATACATATAGCCTATAAATATTTTTAAAATATATTATAAATACCAGTAGTTAAAAAATAGATAATAAAAAGTTAAAACATATAATGTAAATAGTCTTTAAATAAAATATAATTAGTAAAAAAAATTGAGAACAAGTGTAGAAGTGCTGAAGCATCAGAGGCTATTACGGACCTTACTTTAGTATTTACCGTCTGTAAATGCCAGACAATTTTACTTATCAGTAGGTAGAGGTCTGTCAATAAACGAGTTAAAAATCTGTAGTTAGCAGTCTCTTTGGTAGCCAAAGAGTTAAGTATATACATACAGTGTCAGTAACTTGGCTGGGGACAGGGCAGAAAAAAAGCAAGAACATCATGTAACATCAAGAATAGGGCGAAGCTCAGCTGCAGCTAGTTCAGGCCTTCTTTACAGGTTAGAAGAAACATTTATATATTTGAATAATACCCTGAATCTAGCTGGATATTTTTCAACTATCCAACATATACCCTGTATGGAGCTGCATAGCAAAAACATTCTATCCTGCACACCCTACAAAGAACTTCATTCTTCAAGTAAGTAAGGTAAGAGCAAATTGCTCCTTTATAGGTGTTAATATTTAGGTGAGATATGGGTGAGCATGCCACAGACGGTAAGTAAAATTGTCTCGCATGAAATGTCAGAGTTAAATAATAATATCAAAGTACTTATAATAAGTAGGAAGTGTTTGATGTCAACATGAAACATGGGGAGAGTCTAGTACGCTAGCTAGACACTTCCCTTGATGAATAAAATTGTCCGGCATTAGGCAAGATAACATTTAATAACAAAGTGCTGAATATTGGGCTCATTGGAGTGAAATGGGTAATTCCAAAAACAATCAAACCCTTGCCGAGGTGTCTCTAAAATATATAAAATGTAGCCCAAAGGTTGTTACATATATTATTAAGCAGAACATGTGGTGTATTAACTAAATGTATTCATAAGTTTGAACAAGCAAACTAAGGACTTTAACTGTTTTCAGTTAGGGACACATCTATAATCAAGTTGCCACATATGACAACAACACATCAAATTGATATTTTTATCTATCCTAAACTCACCCACCTATATATGAATAAATATTGGAAACTTATGAAAGTACCAGTTAATTTGAAACCAGTCGATAAATTTTCTCAAACCATGTTTAGCTGGGACATGTCTGGATAGGCATATGAGAATTGAGTAGATGCTCGAGTAGATGCCATCATGTCAATCTATATTATTTTATACAACAAACACTGGAATCTGTCATATACACTATAGTATACACAAAGATCAAAGTATACTATTTGGCATTACAATAAACATCATTTATAAATATAAAGGCTGAGTCAAATGTAAGCCATTCTATAAAACTAATGTTGTTTTAATTCAAATATTGTCGCAGCAAATTGAAATTTTAAGCCGGAACATGTGCTCAAAATTCACAAATGAAGATAGTAACTATTTCCTTTCAAAATTGCTCTATTTATATATAAAACATAACAAAATTCTTACCTGGATGTTTCCCAGTCATCCCGGATCTTTTATCTTTACAATAAATAACAGTTTCGCTCAATAAAAGCTCTGTATTTGAGCCATTTCGAGCGGAAAGTTTAAAACAAAAAAATTTTAAAATATGGCGTTGTAAATTGTGACGCTATCCCAGAAAGCTTTGCGCGCGTTGTAAGAAAATTAGGCACCAGTCTGTCAAACTGCGCTCATCGTAAGAATTTTTGGTGGTATTCATGGTATGGTGTTTTGTCAAAAATGCTGTTTTGTCAAGAGACAAAATACCTACCTCCACAAAGTCCACAAAGACTATAAATATTTTTGTAAATATAATTTCAATGAACTGATGAAAAATTTAAAATTAACTAACTCAACCTGGGAAATTTTGACCAGTTAAATAAATACATTTACCCTTTCTAAATTCTCACAACTTTCTATTTGAATAGGAAATAAATAGCTTTTAAGATCTAATTATTTTGCTATTTCAGTGCCTTTTTTAACTATATATCTGGGGGGGGATTTCCCCCCAGGGAAAGAATTCCCCCCCCCCCAGTAAAGCCATTTCTGCCCCCGAAGTGCGAAGCAGAATTGCTCATGATTGCTGTCAGAATTGCAGTTGATTTACTTGATAATCAGGGCCGCCCAGAGGTTGGCGGGGGCCCGGGGCGAATTTTTTTTTAATTCCGAGTAGAAATGTCTGGAAAAATTCATGTCTTCGATGTACTTTATAATCTTCGGAACTCTTCGGAATTTCACTCCCAAAATGCTTGAAATCGCTTGAATTCAAGGACCCTAGATTTGAAAATTTCCCCGGGGGTGCATGCCCCGGACCCTCCTAGACTTTTCGACCCCCCCCCCAAAAAAAAAAAATTAAGGTCTGGCTACGCCACTGGTTATAGCTGTACGATTATAGCTACAAAGGGTTGAAGTTATTGTCTATATAGGAGAAGTTAATAAATTCAAGTTTTACAAAATCTCTCTTCAGACTGGCGTGTTCGCCAAACTTCGATGGGTCATATTTTTCGTTCTGCCTTTTTTCCTGTTTTGCCCCCCCCCCCCTCCCTAGTAAAAATTCCTTAAAAAAGGCACTGTGCTATTTATTAGCTATTTTAACAATAGCTCTAAAAATAAAAGTAAACATAGTGTAAAAATAGCTATTTAATAGCCATTTTGACCAAACTGTCTATGAATAGGAATTAAATAGCTATTTAAGATCTATTTATTTTGCTATTTAATAACTATTCTAAGAATGGCTCTAAAAATTAAAAAATAAAAGAAAACATAGTTTAAAAATAGCTATTTAATAACTATTTGGAACAAAGTTCGCCACAACTTTCTATGAATAGGAATTAAATAGCTATTTAAGATCTATTTATTTTCCTATTTAATAACTATTTTAACAATACTTAATAATATCTCCAAAAATAAAAGCAAACATAGTTTAAAAACAGCTATTTTATAGCTATTTTGAACAAAGTTCGCCACAATTTTCTATGAATAGGAATCAAATAGCTATTTAAGACCTATTTATTTTGCTATTTAATAACTATGTTAAGAATGGCTCCAAAGAAGATATGCAAAAATAGTTTAAAAATAGCTATTTAAACTATTCTAACTGACTCGTTTGTCATCAATAGGAATTAAATAGCTATTTAAAAGCTATTTTATAGTGAGATTCCGTCAATTACTCTTTCAAATAGGATTTGAATATCTATTTCAAAGCTATTTCTTTGAAAAATATATATAACCTATATGTTAAATAGGGAGTAAATAGTCATATACTATTTTATGAAATTTGATAAATAGTAATAAAATAGACATATTTTTGAAAAAATACGGAAAAAATAGGGCTAAATAGAGAAAAAATAGGTATAAAATAGGTTATAAATATGTCGGATTCTACAAGGGGTACAACTAAATCCACATTAATGTATAAAGTCCTGAATGATTGCGCTGGGCCGAACTTGAAGGATATTCTAACGAGAAGGGACCTTGTTCAAACCAGTTATAATCTTCGCAATACTTATACTGACCTTACCCTTGCTAAGCCAAAACGAGAATTTTTAAAAAAAAGCTTTAAGTATAGCGGAGCTAAATTGTGGAATAGTCTTCCTTCTGATGCGAAGCTAGCGCAATCAATTTATTCTTTTAAAAACTGCCTGAAAGTTTCACGCTAACATCTTCTAATATACTGTATATGCATGCTTTAGAAATATGGGTCACACCGTTTGGAACTTAATTCTTGTATTGTAAATAGTTGTATATAATTCTTTATTCTTTTCTATATCATATTTGTAATTTTCAACAGTAACAGACGTCCCTCGTGAAAATCAACAAATCGTTGACGAGGCTAACGTCTTTAAATAAAGTTTACATACATAATACATACATATAGAAACGAATCTCACCACGAATCTCACCATATTTTGATGGGCTCACACGCCATCAAAGCCTTAATAGCAGACAATATCAAACAAATTTACCCTAGGCATCTAAAATCTAGCATATTTAACAAGATAGGACGATTTTACAAGTTGTCGTAACGAACTGACTAAGATACGAATGATTTTCTAGCAACGATTCTCACTTTCTGTCATAAAATAGCCAATGAGATATAGATTTATTTACAGTTCTGTAGTGAGCTTCGTTCAAAAACGAACTTAAAAAGGGATATCTGCAAAATTAACAGATTGTAATTAAGGAAAATGGTTTCTTGTACCCATATGCATATAAAATGTAAGATAAGTAAAATTTATAGTAACGCAAATCAGCGTTTTAGACCGAGATTCGTTAGTGAGCATCGTGTAATATGAGACGTATAAAATTTGACTACTGGCTGCGTTATGAACTGTGCTATAAATATTATACTGCAAACGTAATTTAGCTTGGAAATGGCCCCAGTTCTCAAGTATAAGTTTGTAAAAGGCGAAAACAATGCATATTTATTTGTCTTTCCCCGCAGTTTAATATGTTGTGAGATGAGATTTAAACCTACCCGACTCACAAACCGATTATTTCTGAATAGTTCTGTTCCGGGTTCGTGGTAATTATGGTCTTTTGCATCATTCCAAAGACATCAAGTAACTTTTGAGTAAATTTCCGCGGATTTTTCACAAGGAAGAGAGCTATGATGATATTAGACGTGAATATAAATGTGCTTATTAAGCATTATAGCTAGTAGCACACGTACCTGTATTGGTATATAAAGTGTTAAAAATAACACACACCCCCCGGAATGAATGGATAGTATCTAAAACTGCCAAAAGTTGCCCACATATGCTTCGATACTGGAATATATGTAATTGGGCGGTATAAACTTAAAACTAAAACGTTTAATTACCAAATTCCAAACACCATTGATCACCACCAAGAATGTATATGTTAATGCACTTAAACTGTCCTGCTAAAATTGCAATTACTGTATTTTTCGTCTAGGATTCGTACTATTCGACCGAATGGAGCAGTACTGTTAAAACAATAGTTAAACCAGGTAAATGATCCCTGACAAATCCATATTAGATGTATAAAATGAGACCACAAATATAAGAACTAAGGTGTACAAATTGTCAATTTCAGATCATCATGTGATGTTATGAACCTTTGTTTTTATGCATTTTAAATCATAGTACGTTCTGTTACAGCTCATGCAGTGCAGTGCAGTGCAGTGCAGTGCAGTGCAGTGTAGTGAAGTATCGTAAACGGCAAAGTACTCTAACGGAAAAGTACAGTAACAGTACAGTTCTATACAGTGCAGGATGATAATAGGCTGCGTTGTAGAAGAACAACCTACGTCAGAGATACAGAAACGTACATGCTGAATAGAAAAGCTAAAAAATCCTTATATTTTTTATAGGGCTGAGTGGACCTCCATTGAACGTGGCTTTTAACTCCCGCGGTAAAACCTCACTACAAGTGTCCTGGAGAGCTCCTGAAGAACGTTTACAGAACGTTGAACTGACAGGATATCAAGTTTGCTTTTATACAAGGGACACTGCTCCAGAATGCTTAGTACTTACAAGCACTAAAGTACTTTCCCTTACACTCAACAATCTCAAACCTTCAACGAAGTACTTTGTGACGGTTTCAGCCAGCACAAAAGCTGGTTATGGAGAGAAAAGTTTGGAAGTCACTAAAATAACAAGTGGAGGTAATTCAGTAATATGAATAGTTGGCATTTATTCTAGCACTCGTTTGGACAAACCAGTCATGATTTAGAGGTGGACAATAAAAATTGTGGTTTCCAAAGAACGAAGCAATGCAATAGAACATGAAAAATACAATAGAATCCAACTATATTTCTATAGAAATAGTAAAATCTATGCGTTTGGAGATGGCAAAATATAGTCGTATTGTAAAATGATACTCACCAGTTTAGGCATGCATGCGCATTGTCATAGTGTTTCGAGTGGTCGTTTGATGTATTTAATTTTTTTTTGTATTTAGAGCCAGTAAATCCACTCACAACGTCCGATTACACTCTGAGCCTAAATATACCTAAACCAGCAGAATATATCAGGTAAGTTTTCACATGTCAAAGGATTGGAACAGGCTCGTTGTTTATATAGATCATAGTGCAATATACAGGGTGTATAAAAAAAAACGCAACCTCGGAATTTCCTAAGAAATCACTTTGCAATTCTTAAGCATAAAAAATTTTAGGCCCCTGGGAATTGAAATCGAATTGCTAATAGATCATATTACTGTTGTTGTGCATTAAATAAATGCATAAATTTTGCTTTATGCACTCGCGTGTGCAGTAATTTTGACAGTTGTGCTATTTTAAATTCCCAGGCGCCTAAAATCTTTTGTCTTCAAAACAATGTCGATTTCTTGGGAAATTCCGAGGTTGCGTTTTTTTTGATACACCCTGTATGCAAGCGTTGTCAAGTCTTCTAGAGGCAAAAATAAGGCTTGGTCTTGCGGCAGCTTTTAACGACAAGCTTAACTTAACCACCAAGCCTTTTCTTAACCAGCTGAGCATGCTCGATTGGCTCTGAACTATTGCTAGCTCTGCTCAAGTCTTGCCAAGTATTTTGTAGGCAAAAATAAAAACAGTTTTTTGTATTTCAAAAGATGGTCTATAGCTGACGAATTTGCATAGTAAAGCTTTTAAATAAATCATAGATAAAAACCTATTAACTTTGACAGCACTTTGTTTTGTGTTTGTTTCTATATTGAAATTTACTGATTTAGAGAAGTGATGGTCATTTTGCAACTTGTCACAAGCAGTCAAACACCAAGTGAAAATATTAGAACAAGCGAATTCAAACCTTACCAAACAAGCACACGAGATCCGTACATCACTGCCTATTTAAAATCTGATGTTCTACCTTTGACATTTGTGATCGGTGATGGTAGGGAGTATAATTCTGAAAAAGAAAAGTACTTCAACCAACCTCTGGAACAGAATTCAAGTTATCTCGTGTTCCTGAGATTCTTTGAAAGCCAGGTGAACAAATAAGATATCGAAATAATTTGATAAGATAGCACGTTATGTCACTGAATTTTAGCCAGAATTTGCACACTAACAATTATATTCTCGTTTAGGATTCGTACTACTCGACAGAGTGGAGCAACAGTGTGAAAACTATGACAAAACGTCCAGGTAAATAAATCCCTCTCTATTTCACCATGGGAGTTATACCTCACGACCTATATGAAACATCAAGCACACATTTATTGTATATTCATGTCAACGAATTATCCGGAGAAAGATATTAACCCATTATCATGCAGTGTAACTGAAATTAAACCATTGTGCTTCTGTCCCATGAGTTGGGATCTTGATTAACACTTCCGGATAAATTAAAACCTTTAGATCTAAATAAAATAGTGGTCTTTTTCACAAGCAGTGATTTTTTACACTTTTAATTGCAGTGGAATTTTTGAGTGATAGTGAAACGTCAGAACAATCTGAGAACAACAACACTCGCCTGGATCTCATAATACCACTGGTTATTTTGGCCTTATGTTTGCTCCTGTCACTTGCTGTGATCATATACCAACGTCGTCGCTTTCAAAATAACAATAGGAAGGAGAGTCATAAACTGACATCAAGACAAGCTGACCAAACAGGGACATCCGGTACGTATGTAATCTTTTACATTAGGTAACCAAATTGACTTCATAGCTTGTTTTTATTGGATATTTATAGCAGTTCGTAACTGTTGTCCAAATATATAGTGGCCAGGGGCGTCGGAAGCGGGGGGTGGGGGTGGCTTGGACCTCCCCCCACTTTTTCATTTGGGGGGACTAAATGTCTTTGGGCCCCCCACTTTTTAACAATGGTCAATAATAAATCACAAGATTAATCAGTTTTATTATTTCAGTTACGCGTGTATAGACAAAACAATTTGAGATATTTTATAACTCCTAAACTATTTTATAACTTTTAAAATATTTAAAAAATATATTTTATCACTTTTAAAATTTTTCCTTATCATGTCACACGCCATCGGCGGGCGATAAGGGTGCCCCTCGCCACTTTTAGAGCCGTTCCCTTATTAATTAGATCATGCACTTATTACGGAAAAGTCGAATAAAAAGGGAAATTTCCCCCATGTTTGAGTAATATATTTAAATGTATGGGGTTAATAGACAGGAATGTGTAAGTAAGAAAGTATAAATCGTTAAACACTTTTACTATAGCTAGTACCAAACATTCACCTGCATTGTGTAAATCTTGTAGATTCTGCTCCAAAACCTCCAAATAGCAAGCAATCGATGGAGGTCATCGAACTGACTGCAGAGAGAGTTTCTTACGTGAATGACGACACCGTATATGAGTCTCCTGACGATGTGATAGAAAGTATTGAAAGAAATGAGGCTGAATCTAAACATGAGATTACTACAGAAGAGGAAACGTCCGCGTACATATCTTTGACAGACCACAAAGAACCTGAAAACTTTTATCAACCTCTACAAACACTCGGCACCAGTGTTCATCCACACGATACGAAGGGGGTTGACGACCAGTCAGCATTTAATTTAAATGTCAGTCCTGTTTAATTTGAGGTAGAGCAAGTACAGTAGTTTGACTATCAGAAAATTGTTTATATCACTTCCTGAAGGCTGGGTCAACACAAATCGATTAATATAGATCAACACAAATCTAAATATAAATTACCATGCAGATATATCTTCAACTACGAAATTCGTCCCGATGAAACATTATACAATAATAATGTGTTTTGGTTTAAAACCAAAGATAGAAACATTTCTTCAGATTGGAAGACATAAAAGTCTCGAACTCATAATGATATTATCGAGCAATATATATATATATATATTCATAGAAATGAACCTATTCATGAAATCTATAGTAGAATAGTTTAAATATTTTTAAGTAGCGTAATGTAAGGCTATGGTTGGAGATGTTATATATCGCGAGAAATTCGTCGAGTTTAGAGAAATGTACGATATTTTATTACATACATCACGATCAGAACACGCGGCATTGTATAGGCTAGCACATTTTGTATTCTTTTATTTTGACTTAATTGTATCAAAATAAGGCACAAAGTATTAGAGTCTCGTAATTTTTTGGGCCTTCAGCGAGGGTCCTGAAGGGGGGTCCCAATCCCATTTCCCACCTGAAATTTTGGCAAAATCCCAGTCCCAGTTGGATTTTTATATATTAGAAATCCCAGTCCGAGTTATTGAAATCCCAGTCAATAAAAAAAACTTTATTTATCGGTACAATAAACAGTTTTAAGACTTTTAAGCCACCGTGTGTGCAAGTGGCGAACACTTTATGAAATATTGGGAGACGTTCGTGCCGAAGACACGGAAAATGTTTAAATTTGAATCCCGGAAATGGCATTTGCAGCATTCTGAGACACGCATAATCAGAAAACCCAGAATTTCGGGCGCCAGAGTATGCCTGTTCTCAGGTAGTGCTGTGAATAATATAGTTAACAACAAAAATCATGACCAAAGACACCAAAAACGGATCAAAATTGTATTTTAAAATACTTAAAACGTAGAAAAATTGGGAATTGACTCGCATTACCTCAATGCCATTCCCATTTTTGAGGACTTCATAATTCCCATTCCCAGTGGCCAAATCCCAGTCCCAGCAACCCAAATCCCATTTTCCCAGTCTAAAAATAGATCAATCCCAGTTCCCATTTTACCCCTTCAGGGCCCTCTTCAGCCTTCCGTAGACTCGCATATCTACCAATCAAAATTAAAAAATTCGACGACAATACTACTAATATTCTATAATATTCGTTACACATAAGGATGCACAATCTGCGCATGCTCAGTTAATGGATCGACTGGCCTAGAAGTCTAGAACAGTTTGCCAAACATTGGGTAGCTGATGAGACCATATCAATATTTATCACTATTGAGTTACCAGGGCGATGTCTCATACGGAAATACACTACTCCCAATATGTAGGCACTTATAGCCTTGGATTTTTATATTAAAGTTATGCTGTATTCTTCGAACCGACGATAGACAGATCGCTTTTGCTGGTCCCAAAAAATCTCAAGTGGGTTGAGATCTTGCGAGTTCAGGTCACATCATTCTCTTTCTGAGAAGATGATACCTTGAAGTGATCGACAAGTGTGGTGGTTACACCCATTATTAAATCATTCATGAAACAATTTACTGCTGTTGTGAAACTTTAAATAATGAAGTGATTCTTGTTAATTTTGAAATTGGATATTTTTGTATTCAGTTGTGGCTAAATTATTCTTTAAAGCACGAATGGCCCCTCTCTTCATTCAGCATTAAACAAACCACCATCGGTCTAATTAATGCTAGGTTTGATTATCAGGTAATAATTTACTAAGAACTGTCTTGTGATGATATATTTAGGGGGAACTTTCTTTTTGTGCGGTGTTTGTTATAAAAGATGCGGTTTGAGATTAGCACTGATCTTAAGTGTATAAGAGTGCTTTACATTATATTGTATACAAGCGGCCGGTTGTTCAAAAGTCGGTTCGTTAAGCTTAATTTAATCCTAGGTTACCGAAACTTCACAGCAATCTTCCTATTAAAACAGCTTGTATAAAATCATGGAGATATTTTTCCAGACGGTCTTGTTTGGATTAATAAAAGTATTATTTTCAAACGTTTTGAAATAAACGGATTTGCATGCATGCAGTAAGAATTCTCGAAGTGATTAAAATTTTGGCCATGCACACTGATTACATTCTGGTTGCCTTTTTGACAATTTTCTTACATATTTTTGGCTTTGGAATTTGCCCAACTTCATTTTTTGTTTGTCCCCAATTGCCCCCTCCCCCCCCCCCATGGCCTCCCATGCACCTCTCCGTGGCCCTCTACCTCGTACGCTTATGGCGCTAATCCAGCTTTGAACTATACCGGTAGATTTACTTTTTTGCCATAATAATGATCAGGCCTTTAAGTTTAACTGTGAAATGAAACTCTCTTTAAGTTTGCACCATCGCAACCCAAAATTTGGCAAATACACCCGATTTGTTATTATCGCCTATCAAAATTGCCTTTTACCACCATTGGGAATTGAGTGCAAAACTATTGTTTCCGTATTGAAATTATTCTCATTTTGGATTCAAATTTTAAAAGTCGAACAAATATCCCCTAACATACGGGTTATTTATTAAGTTTTGGTAAATTTAAAGATGATTCAACTCGCGACTTATGAACGAAATTTCGCGGCTAAATATTTCGATCACGAAACAGGAAGATGGCGGTATAGTTTGGATGCATGCTGAACCATTTCACATTTAGGCAAATGTTCAGAGTCGAAGAACCTTATCATGTATACAACAATACAGACGTTAGTCGGGGAAACGTGATCTTCATCGACAAGGTTTTATAATTACACTCGTGCATGATGAACTTCCTGGCTTATAAATCGAAAGCTTTTTCGATATCAATGACATGGTGTTTCCACCGAACAAATCAATTATATTGGTCGCCATACAAACCGACAAAGAATTAACTGTGCAGTATGTGCAGAGAATTAAATTCAATTTCCAAGTACTATTTTGGTGATAAACATTGCTCTTTGTATGAAGTCAGTTAATTAACATATATTCGTTTCGTGTTTTTATAGGAAGTAAAATGCGGAACTACAAAGTCATGTCAAAGACAAGGAACTCGTGGTTTAAGCATATAGCCTTTCGCTTTCGCTGTATCAGTTTCCACAATCAGCAGCAGAATGTCGTCGCTAGTTCATCGCTGGTTATTTTTGTGTGGTATAACATTATTTGTGTTTAACAAAGGTAAGTACTTTATGGTATTAGTAAACGGAGGGCTATATTAGGCCTGTTTTATACGTCGAATTTTGGTAGGGTCGAATGGAATTAAGACAATAGATAATGAGATTATAAACCTCTTTAATTAAGCTTCATTATCTATTGTTTGAATCGCATTCGACGCGACAGAAATTCGACGGATAAAACAGACCTTACTCCAATGATCGTCGCACTCTTCCCGAAATCCTGTCAAATTTCGCGAAGTCCCTAAAATCTTAAATACGGAAACTACTGTATATGACTAAAATAAAATTCCTGAAAATAAAAGAATATGAAACTAAAATTAATTGCTGAAAATGATTAAAAGTGTCTACATCTCCTGCAAAATCCCTTTCAAGATCCCAGACGTCCCATCACAATCCAAACATCGAGCGGAAATGCCCTTTAATTAACATCCGCTGCAAAAAATCCCCAAATAGTTGAAATCAGAAAACTTCTAGTCGTACGCTTTTTTCAGACTGAATAATATGAGCGTAGAGGTATGTTGTCTGTGTAGAATGTAGATAGGAATAAGTGCTATATAGTTGAGGGTTACAGAATCCAACTATCTGAAGAATTATGTGTTAACAATTTAATCGACGTTTCGGGCGAAGGCCGTTCGTCTGACTTTCAGACATACATGCAAGTCAGCGGTAATCATTGATGTTGAATTGTCTAAGGTTGTATCGCGATTTGCCCTGTCTTTGTTTGTTAGATCCATCCAGTTTATAATTCTAAATCATACATGTTTTTGGAGCGGGGGATTTAAATTAACTTAACCTGAAGTTCAGGCCCTAATTTAATAGGGGCTGAACTTCAGGTTAAAATTAACTATACCACACGATATTCCACGTATGTTCAGTTTTTTTGGATTGATAAGTCAAACGCTTAATGCGCAGTGTCAATGTCAAATGAAAAATGTTTGGATAGCTTTTCCCAGTACATAAAATGGGTCATATTTACTCTGGTTATATAACCTTTTAGCCATTCTCAGAATTCATGTACTGAAATCTCTGATGTTTCAAATGAAAGCCAAAAGTCCTTCAAGTCATGACGTGAATATATTATAGATTGAATTACACTGTACTTGAACTTCTTGCAAAGCTACGGAATATGGGGTCTTATTGATTCCGGCAGTATCTATAATAAGTCTGCTAAGGCTATAAATGATGTCCGTAATGCAATAGAGAATAGTATATACCGGAAAATGTGCAACATAATAACCTAAGTAACTTTAAATAATGAAGAACGAAATATTCAGTTTGACTGCACGCAAGTCAAACAGTACTGCTAATTATCGCTTTCTTGCGAGTCAGCAACATTTCGATTTTTAAATTATTTAAAATTAGCCATTAGGATATACAGTATATCGTGTGACACACGTTTCCAGTATATAGCCTTACATGTATATACTGCGATTAGCCTAAGGCATATAGACCCTAGCTATAATGCGATGAGCCTACGATGATATTATATTTTTCTGAAACCGCTCGCCCTGCTCTTTTCCTGTTTAAAATCAGCATTTTCCCCTTAAGGTCCAGGTTAGGTTAATATAGGTTTATGGTTTAGAGTTTAGGTTACAAAAAGATGAGATTGTGTTAGAGAAAGGGCCAAAATATAATAAAAGACAAGACTATCGCTGCGTGTGTTCTGATCGCAGCGTAATATCACAAAATAAGCAACCCTGAAATATATACTGTGCATGACCTCGTGCTTTTCTATTTTCGTTCAACGTTGTTATCGTGTGATGAATATAGATGATGTTTACTCTATTCAGGAATCAGGACTTGAATAACGTTCCCAAGCGGTTCCCGATCATGATGATCGGCAGCCATGCTTATTGACTTTCCCTGCTTTCAGATCCATTTCCCTGCCGTCGATCACATAAGCAATTTCTTGCCTATCTTTGATCGGTGCTATTTGTCCTGCTATTTGAGAGTAAAGGTTTTGTTCCAATACTGAGTTGACTCACCTGAAAAGATTGTAGTCAATTTACTCACAAGTTTTGAGTACTAGCCTAAGGAAACTGTTTGGTAGCCGACGGACTTTGAGTAAATTTACACTTTGAGTAAATTTACTCATCACATTTTTGTAGCTGGTGGTGTTTACTCGATATTTCTTACTCAAACATTTACCGGTGTAAAAATACTCAAACCATGAGTGACCAGTACATTCTACTCACATTGAGTAGATTCGCATCTTTACTCAGCTTTGAGTAAATCGATCAGTTTGGAAAGCATATTAACTCAGTGTTAGAGTAAAACATCGATTCTATACTCGAGAATAACGAGTAAATATGAAGCAACTTACTCAAATGAGTAATTTTACCGATTATAGCTGCGTAAACGATAGTGGTTTACTCAAAATATTTTACTCAGGTGTTTGAGTTTGAAGTTATACTCAGCATATTCGAGTAAAAATACTCTTAAACTGCATGAGTAACATTGCATTTTACGCAAATTTATGTGTTAAAATAACTCAGAGCGAAAAATGGATTTTTTGCAGTGATATAATGAAACTTGCGATGACCAACAGTGACAACAGTTGTTATTGCGGCCATATTCTCGGTGACAAAAGTATTTGAGAGGAAAATGAAAAAGCATAAAAAAATATCATGCACATCATATAGATTTCCACACACAAGAATTGTTATATATAAAGACGAAATTGTCGCGTTGTGTCTTTTTAATGTTTATTTTTTGTTTGTAGGTTGTCGTGGTTTTTTCCTCAGGCATACTCAGTCTGGAAAGTGTATCACAGGATCGGATAAGCGCGTGTTAAACGTTACTTCTGGGTTATCTTATTATGTTGTAATGACTGACAACTGCTTGAACGTTAGTGGACAGTTCCGTTATCGAGATAACGAAATGTTACAACATATCGAAACAAAAGGAACTTTGGTAGCTCCCCCAGATAAAATGTATCACAGCCGCTGGGCTGTATATAAAGGTGTATCACCTAGTGGAGAAAGCTACCAAAGCAATCCTGTACATCGTTTAAAACAAACAGCTGCTGGATCTTTACAATTTTACCAAAAGGGCACCGTATGTGCTGAGCCTTCAAAACCCTATGTGTTGAGTAAAACATATTGTGACAAATTAAAAGAACAGTTTACTTTCGGTAAGTGGAATACGGTGACACCGTACAATTTTGTGAAAATTAATGTCAAAAGATGTAAGAAGATGTCTTAAGTTAGGGGGCATGGGTTATGATGTTTGTTATAAACCCAAGAACATGAACTCGTTATCTAGGGGTAAAAAATAGAATATCAAGGCATGAAATGCCATTTAATTCCAATACTAGTGTCTTGATCTCGTCATCGGCTTTGGTGATTTGAATTATATATAATGGCAGCAAATTGCATTACCTGTAAATTGGAAAGAGCTAGGTCACGCTTTTAAAATAGAGCTATATATGTCCATCTGTGTAAGATGTAGGGGACCAAACCAAACCTTGTATACTCGCGGCTTATAGCTTAGTACTTTATATCATTATAGCTATAGTAAAAAGAGAAATTAAATATCTACAGTTTTTCCAGCTGGATTTGGAGAGGGAGATTGATATTTTATTGTTAACTCCGTTTTAGGTTCAGTGACCGACTACGGCGCCAAAATGGAAAATGTTCATTGTTCTTCAATGCAACGTATGGCGATCAAGGGAGCTGATTATGGAGATTTCAATAATAATGACGTGTTTGATGGCAGTGCAAGCATTGACGCAAAGTGTAGTCCACTTTCCAATTGTCAGGTGAAATCTCGTTGTGGTGGAAAGAAATCTTGTGAACGGATCATGGGCAGTAATTTACTACCATCACCATATTGTCGTGATAATTTAAAAGAAATTTACATCGAGTACACTTGTGTGGATAGCAATAGCTCAAGCCTCGGCTCAAACATAACTGCAGGTAAAGTCGTCGATATTCTTAAATATAGAAATATTCAACAGCAGCGGGATGCTTCCTAGAGTAGTAAATGTAATATTTTATTAACCCAATGGAATACAATATACAAGCACCTTTGTGCAGCTTTGCTGTGTAAAGCCTTTGCTAAAGGCTTGGTAAGTAGAAGCAACCACGCATGCTACATATACGCTGCCTATATAGTAATTGAAAATAATAAAAAAGGCCGGCGTTCAAACCCAGCAGCCGGTTCAACATCGTCCAAGATCATCCATGCATGCATCCACTATTTATTAGAGGTGTGCAAATCCGATCCGAATTCGATCGGATTCGTTCGGATTTCGGAACAAAAATATTCATTTCGGATCGGATAGACAAAGTTGTTTTGTAGTCGGATCGGATCGGACTTCAATATTCGAAATAAAATGAATTAATTATCCACGACAACGCGGTTGTCGCTGCATTATTCGTTTGATACTTCAATTAGTCGTCACTTTGTCACCCTTGAAATGTATTTCTTGCTTTTATTTTTATTTGGTTAAATATTTCCACTTGAATGAAAAATTTATTTTATTAAAGGATTCTTCGGATCGGATCGGAATTCTTTATCAAAACTTGGATCGGATCGGATTCGGATTAGACAATTTCGGATCGAATCGGATTTTAAACATTAGCCAATTGTCGGATTATAAACGTCCAATCCGATCCGCACCTCTACTATTTGTAGAGATTAGGTTTGACATCATTCAAAATTTTCATCTAAGATCCTCCCAAACATTGTTGTAACGACTTGAGCGAGCCAATATTTTTCGATATGTTTGTAATATTTTCCTTAACAAATCTTCAAAATTTAACAGTTTCGAAAAAATAAAGCGCACTCTTTAATTCTAAACTTTTCGTTTTAGCAACCAAGATGAGATTAACACATTGGGCAAACGAAGGTTTCATCGAAATAAAGGACGGTTTAATTTGGCGAAGAGTTAAAGAAGAACATTGGGATAAAAATCGTCAGAAAATGCTGTGTCAGCATTTGGGATTTAAAGAAATGGACACGAATGATATTAGTTCTAATTTTCAGATTGGGGCAGGACGTGATATTGCAACTGGGAGCTTGATATGTTATAGCACACGACCAAGTGAAACGTCCTGTTGTATCAATCTTGTTCGCTCCACAAGCACTTCAAATTCTAAGTTGACGTGGGCCAAATGTGAGTAAAGAACATAAAATCGGCTGACATAACTTAACTTTATTGAGGTATTGGTTTTCTCCATGTGTTCTTGTTCCTCCCACACCTAACCGACCCCTTTCACCGTACTAGAACTATACTTCGTGATCAAACATGAGCCATATGCAGGTGGTTCCCTTAGAGAACCTTCAACACGATCAAGTTCAGCTGCTCTATTCGCCCAGTTTAGCTCCGCGCTCAGCTGCATGTAATGATTAGCACACCTCCACATACTTACCTTCCTAATTGTTAAGTATAATGTTGAAACGCTGTAGCACAATATGTATCTGACTTGCATAAACATGGGAAGATAAATTGGTGATTTTAGTTCGGGGATTCCTTTCACGTACGTCACAAGTTGGGATTAGTGTACAGATTTATGCAGCAGCCCAATGCCAAGGCGGGCGTTAATTTACTCAGTTTTACTCTTTTAACTGTAGGCAAGATATGCGATAAACCGCTATCTCTGAGTGACGTTGACACGTTTTCGCCAAACAAAGTATTTTCTGGTAGTGGTGGCTCTAAATATTATGGAAACGTGAGATCTAACAGAGCTGGTTGGTGTGCTTCGGGTTCCACACCGTATCTTTTGCTCGACCTTCAAAAAGAATATCACTTAACACATGTTATGGTTATAGCTGATAAAGAACAAACAAAGTGGAGTAACTCATATTCAATGAAATACAGTCGTGCTGAAACTTTGATCGGTAGTAGATTAATGCAGGTATCTGAAATAGTAATCTGTTAGATTCGATTTTGAAGGAATAAAGCGATGATAATTCGAAAGAAATGAATGTTTAATGCGGAGTTGTTGAATCCACATTACGGAATTCTCCTGATTTGCATAAACATTTTGCATTAACCTTGCTTTTCGCCAGCTATATATATAACATTGAAATGAAATGAAAAGCTTTAAGATATTAAATATTTTGCAACAGCAAACTGGACATTGTCGCACATTAAAAAATCCATAATTTGGTTTGTTTTCCGTTGCTACAATTTAATTAACGCAACGCAATGTTTAATTTACGATAACTATTTTTTCTTCTAGATCACAGGAAACCAGAACGGATACCAAGCATCCATTACGCAGCTTGATAACGTTTATAATGCGAGATATATAAAGATCCAATCCAAAGGAAACACGGACTTTTGTCTTAGAATAGAACTGTGTGGAGAAGGTACTGTAGGTTACTAGTATTAGTTTCTTTAATCTTTGCCAACCAAGGTAACTTACTAGAAACTTTCCATGACAGGAGGGCAACTTCCCATATTACTTTTTGGTCCAGGGATGGCTGCGAGAGAGGGGGGGGGAGGTGAGGCAGGGGCCAGGCTTTCCCCACTATTTCTTCTGAAAAGATTTTCTTCCGCACTTTTTCCACAAATGGCTTCGTTCACTCCATGAAAAATTTGTTCGCTTAATCAGGATAGTAAATTAATAATTTCGAAAAGTAATTTTGTACAGGACAGACAAAAAATGACTTCTGTATAGGACCAGGTGTTTATCTTTCATCTTGATCGAAACATCCTATTGAAAGACGCTTGATCCCCCACACACACACTTTCAAACACACTCGCTCCGCTGTCACTGTGGGACTAGTCTTGTTTAGGGCTAACTACTCTTAAACTGACGATTTGTGGACACTAACACCAAGATTTTACTTTGTGTAAAAATTAGTAAAAGTGAGAAAGACCCCTTGGCAAGGTGAGGGTATACGTAAGTTCAATATATTTGTTGTTTCACACCCTTTTCGTACCATGCCAAAACAGGATTTTCCTAGCTTCTGCCTTATTTTCGTGATGTGAACACAAGTCACCAGTTTTTTTTTGTGAAGGGTAAATCAGGATAGCAAACAGTTTTGAAAAGTAATCTTTCCACGATCTGTCATTGTCTACGGGAAAAGCATGCAAAAAATAACGCGTGTGTTTTCATATAAGCAATATATGTTTTTCTGAGGACTGGATCAAAACATCATGCCAAGTGATGTAATAATATATGAACAACGAGAGCGAGTGTTTAACCGGGATATCATTGTTTTCGAGTGTTTGGATATCCCCGTGAAACACGAGTTCGAGTTGTTTATATGGCTTCTCAAATGAATCGAGACGTAACAGAATGTTTTCGTTTGCTGATTTGAATAGAATTCTTAACCAAGCATAGCGTAATTAGGAATTCTATTCAAGTAATTTTGCATGCGTAATTAAGATATTTGATGAAAACACTATTGACTTTCATCAAGTTTCACCGGGTTATCCAAATGGCATCTTGTGATCAAATAGGTGATTATCGTTGGCTGAATTGCTCATGAATTATTAATGAATTTGAGAAATGTGAATGAAAGTTGATCAAAACACATTCTATTCTAAGATTAGAAGAATTCATTATTAGAAGACAGATTTTCTAAGATGGGAAACTTTTCTGAAACAAGAAATCCATCTGCGTATAAGTACTATTTAAATTAAGACGCGAGCAGGAGTGTTGTATCAGATATAAAACACTAGAGCGCAGCTCGAGTGTTTTATATCTGATAAAGCACGGACTGCGAGTTATTAGACGAGAAACTCGTCTTGGATTTGCATTAAGGATTTTGGGAAATTTCCGGTTTTAGGTTGTTTTCGTTCCATATTCATCATCTCAGACGGAAATTCATCAAACGAGCTTCTCGGAAATCCATTTTGTTATATGAATTCAGCTATTAGGTTATATTACACTTATCCTGTGACAAAATTAAAAAATATTGGTATCGATCCCTTAGCTTCTTTTCTCTCAAATTGTTAATCGAGGGTCCTGAAGGGGGGGGGGGGTGTGGTCCCAATCCCATTTCCCACCTGAAATTTTGGCAAAATCCCAGTCCCAGTTGGATTTTTATTACAAATCCCAGTCCCAGTTACTGAAATCCCAGTCAATAAAAAACCCTTTATTTATCGGTAGAATAAACAGTTTTAAGACCTTTTAAGCAAGTGGCGGACACTTTATGAAATATTAGGAGGGGCTCGTGCCGAAGGCACGAAAAATTTTTAAATTTGAATCCCGGAAATGGTATTTGCAGCATTCTGAGACACGCATAATCAGAAAACCCAGAATTCCGGGTGCCAAAGTATGCCTGTTCGCAGGTAGTGCTGTGAATAATATAGTTAACAACAAAAATCATGACCAAAGACACCAAAAACGGATCAAAAATGTATTTTAAAATACTCAAAATGCAGAAAAATTGGGAGTCGACTCGCATTACCTCAATCCCATTCCCATTTTTGAGGACTTCATTTCCCATTCCCAGTGGCCAAATCCCAGTCCCAGCAACCCAAATCCCATTTTCCCAGGCTAAAATTAGATCAATCCCAGTTCCTATTTTACCCCTTCAGGGCCCTCTTCACGTTGTAAATTTGACCTATACTTAACTACCACCTCCGCAGGCCGTACAGCCGTAATGAGTATGCCCGTTCGCAGGTTGAAATTTGAAATTTGAGACGAAGGCTTGCGCAATCTCGTTCCCAAGTGTATGTGGGAACGAGATTGAGGCTTGCGTAGTATACTTAACAAATCAAACGATCCCAAATTTTTGAACATCTGTCAAAACCAAGCTGCATCAATAGCATGTTTTAATTTCTTACCAAACATTCTGTTGTTTTCACATTTAGTGCAAACTCCAGCTCCTGCATACGATATTAACATTACACCATACAAATATGCAGCACGTGTGACGTGGAGAATACGTACAAGAACTGAAGACTCCAGTTATATAACAAAGATCAATTTATATCTCAACAGTAGAAAATACCAGACTATATCTCGAAGAACTAGTATCATTATTAAAAGACTTGAACCGTTCACCCAGTATAAAGTTGAAATAGAGACTGAAGATGGTTCTTCGGAGAAGAGCAATAAAGTTTATAAAGATTTTTGGACTAAGAAAGCAGGTAAACGTAGCAAATACGTTTGCTGAAACAAGTATGTATACCCGTAATTCCTCTATCAAAAATTTGAACTCCCCTCTGAAATCTGAGGTATGCATCTTCCTATCTGATGAGTCCTAATTTTATAATACTGACAATGATAACATTTTTCTGATGTGTACGTACCACAAAATGTTTTGAGAAATAAAAGGGATCACGAAGTTTGTTTTATCAATGTACGTTAATTTTACGTCAGAAGCGTAGTTAGCTTGTAAAAGTTGGGGAGGGGGCCGGGGGGGGGGAGGAGGAGACTCCCACAAGGTGCAACCCACAAGGCGCCACCATGCATGGTTGGCGCGGAGCATAAAACTTTTGAAAACTTGGAGTCACCAGATCGTCGGAAATGGCATTTTCCGGGTAGGATGTTATCTAAAACTTTCGTTAAACTCTTTCAAATTCTGTCATTATGATTTGTAAGCTACAAAATATTTTACTTTGTAGTTTCTGACTGCGCTAGATGATAGCTAATTGGGAAAGTAAATACCGCTGCCTAACAAGCAAAATAAAATTTAAAGACCAAAACATCAAAAGACAAAAAATAAACAAATATTGATAGACAAAGTTGTTATGATGTATAGAATAACAATAAACAATTGCTGATACGTTATTAATATGATATAAATTTTACGGTTTCAAGTACTTCCAGTTTCGAGAATTTCGCAGTAATTTTTTATTATTTTTTAAATCCAATATTTTTCTTTTTGGGGGGGGGGCGGCGAAATCTATCCCGGCCCTCGGCTTATAAAATAGCCCCCCCCCCCCACCCCTACGCCCCTGTTTTACGTGGAACAATTCATCTTGTATATACACTATTAAAGAATCCCCGTAATTTTACATGAAAAAGTACTGGCAGCTGGGACGCCAGAGCATGTACAGTAATTTTACAGAGACTATTATTATATAATTACAGATACTATATTTCTACCGTAAATTTATACTGTAAAAAGGATGTTTCCAAACACAATCTATTGCACCGGAATATGCAATTTCAGTATATTTTTTTCTTCTGTGTTGGTGTTTTTTCTTCTGTGAATATGATGTTTGTGATGTTAGTCTGAGTGTATATTCTCACCGTGCAAACTTGAAAAATACGCCTGGCCACGGTGGGAATCGAACCTACGACCTTTTGAATACTAGCCCAAAGCTCTAGCAACTGACCTACGCGGTCAGGTCGGTTCGAGTATATGATATTTCGGAACTGAGTCTATATAATCGATATGAATGCAATCTAGAAATCATGATTTTTTTGTAAAAATTAATTAACAGTACATTATTCGGTAAAAAAACAGATATCTTTGACAGTTTACCTTACAACCACTTCTGAAGTTTACATGCCATTTGCAATATGTGAATATGGCGTACGAGTAGCGGACTTGGGAGGTGCTAAAAGATCTAGAAGTTGCGATTTTGCTAAATACATAGAAATCCCTAAAGTTTTGTTTAACAGTGTGTGGACGTATTCTTTGAAACTATACTCCTCACTTCCATGCATGCACTACTTCGGTGAATAACTTAATTATACTGTTAGCACTCCTGTATGATGATCTGCAAGCTTTGCAAAAGTAAATCAAAATAGACTTGGTTTTTCATAAACATCAACAAATTATAATTTAGACCTCACCCATAGTCTGAGCTGACGTCATGCCTATGCTAATATAATTATAGTATCTCATTCTTAATCCCTGTGATAAACGGTTTAAAGCATTCACTGTATAACACAATATACCCAAACATGTAAAATGATATAAATGGTTCTAGCTGGGGATTTCTCTCTCATTACATATTATACGCCATTTTCCTCTATTTTCACTGTAGACAAACATGTGATAAACCTTTAGGCTTTACTGAAAGATGCACATGCAATTTTCCAAACGAAGCATTTTCGGGCAGTGGTGGTTCTAAATATTATCAATATATGCGAGGTTTTCTGGAAGCGCCTGGTGCACTTCGACGTCTTGCTCGTATCTTTTGCTCGACTGACATGGTTTTTGCTCGACTGACAATTTTCGGTTTCATTAATACTATACTAGCCCGATAACGGCGAGACGTTAATTTACTTTCTCTGTTTTAACTGTAGGTATGATATGCGATAATCCGTTACTCAATGACGCAGGAAACGAAGTATTTTCTGGCAGAGGTGGTTCTACATATTATCGATATGCGAGGTTTACTGGAAGTGGCTGGTGTGCTTCAGGTTTCGCACCTTATCTTTTACTTGATCTTCAAAAAGAATATCACATAACACGGGTTGTGGTTATGGGTAATAAAGATCAGACACAATGGAGTGAGTCATACTCAATGAAATACAGTCATGATAAAACTTTGGTGGATACGAGTAGTGCGATACAGGTATATTTGCTATGAAAATAACGAAAAGGTATTTATGGTTGTAATAAAAACTTTGCTGAAAAGAATGTAGGTATAAATAGCAATTAACGTCATTCTTATTAAGCACTATATCAAACCCCAAAGTCTTTTACTTCAGGTTTATTGATTTAGCCGTAATATATTTTTATCATGCATGGTCCAGAAAAAACTATAACCTGCATGATTTTCCAGTAATGACTCTCGACCAAACAGACAAACTGATAACGTTTTACTAGTTCTTCCTCTGAAAAGCCTTCGGCCAGGGAAGATGGCGTTGGAAAACGTTTCGTAAGCGGTTGCCTTTCAACTGATCATTTCGCTCATAAAAGTTGACAAGCTGTAAAACCGCCATTTTTAATTATTTTTGGGAAGTTAACGACACCCTAGAGCATGCATACAGTTAACTTTAACTAGACGTTAACTACCGTTAACGCTAACTACTTTTTTATACAACCGACTTAATTAACTACTTGATTAAAGTTAATCACTATTTAAGGTGACTCGATACAGTTTTCAAAAATCCAGGTGTTCAACACTTTGACATGTTCAAACTACGAATTTTTAGGATTTATTCAGCAGATATTGGGGTTTTTACATATTTTGATATCTCTACTTTCAAATTATATTAGTTTTACTAACAGATAGTTCGTTGCTATGACGACATACATGTACGAAATTTACTCCAAAATGGCCTATCGTCTCGTATAGTTGAAAAAGAAGCATGGTGACCCCCAATTTTTTTTCGTGCACCACTTTACTTGGACGAAAAGCTAACAATTTACAAAATATAAAAAAATTCTGTAATGCCATTTTTTTGGAAAATGCGAAAATGTCGTAATTATTCTTTGGTAAAATGTTTTTGGTATTACAGAATTTTTTAATTTTTTGTATAATGAAAGTTTTTAGCGGTGCTATACATCATGCAAAATTTTAACATATATAAGTCTGCAGATAAAATGGAGAGATATAGCGCATTGCATATAGCGCAACCGCAAACTGGACATACCGCAGGTCAAAATAAATCCATAATTTGGTTTGTTTTCCGTTGCTGCAGATTCACGGTACTGGCGGAACACAACGTTTAATTTACGATAACTGTTTCTTCGCTAGATCACAGGAAACCAGAACGGATACCAAGCATCCATTACGCAGCTTAATAGAGTTTATAATGCGAGATATATAAAGATCCAATCCAAAAGAAACACGAACTTTTGTCTTAGAATAGAACTGTGTGGGGAAGGTAGGTTACTAGTACTAGTTTCTTTTTCTAAGTAACGTATACTTTTTTTGCTGAAAACGTTTTCTGCCGCACTTTTTCTTCAAATTCTGACCACAATAGGCTTTGTTCACTCGCTGTTAATCATTATTTATTATTAGGTTAATTAGGATATTAAATATTCTCGAAAAGTAATCTTTGCACATGCAGGACAGAAGAAAAGACTTATGTATAGGTGTTTATCTTTCGATTTTTCTTGCAAGATTATCGAGTAACAAAAATAATTTAATAATACATCATCCTTTTTTCGTCGGTAAGACCTGTTTCATACGCGGAATTTGAATCAGACGTTTTTAATTCGTTATTAAGTCCTCACAACAG